TCATGTCAGCTGCACAACTGTTCCACAGCCGTGGTGCTGCGAGGTAGCCCAAACGAGCCCAATAGGAGAGACTCCATGGAAAGTCCTGAGACTACATGAAGAAAGAGGAAGCCTGCCCCTGCCAGTCCCCGCTGCTCCAACCCTTGGCCATTCCAACTGCAGTGATCAGGAGCCGGAGGATCTACTCAGCCTGCTGCTTCCTGAATCCCTGAACCACAAGAACAGTAAAAGATACTGCAATAAACCAAACAAAAATTTTAAAAAGAGCTCTATAGCAAATCAGCTCCAACCTCCCTCCCCGATATCATTTGTCAGTATTTTGTCTTTTCTTTTGATCATACGAATATATGAAAATAATGTATAATACTCCTTATTATTTCACATAGATCAAGTTTGTTTGGATTTATGTGTATGCTTAGCAATTTCTTTGTACCCCAGATTTTCGATCTGGAGTAACATTCTTCCTGAGATACGTTGTTTAAAATTTCTCTCAGTAAAGGTCTATTGATAAAATAATCTGTTTTTCAGAAAAATTTCTTTATTGAAACATTTATTGAAACAACCACCCAAAAAATGGCTTGTCAAACACATTTCTAATGTTGAGAGTTTTCACTTCCACCACTTTGGAGATATTTTCCCACTTCTTTCTGACTTCCATTTTTACTGTTAGAAGTTTGTTTTTAGTAATTTTTTTTTCTTTTTCAGGCGATGTATTTTATTTATGACTCCATTGAGAAGTTTCTTTAGTTGGGTTTCACTAAAAACTTTCTAGGTTTGCATCATTTAAAAATTTAATTCATCATTTAATACTTTGTGTAAAGATTACATTATTCACTAATTCTGGAAAATTCTCAACCCTTATCTCTATCGTATAGTTCCACAATTCCACTTTAAGGTAGCCCTTCTTATTTTACTCTGCTTGATTGTGTGGGGGGGGTGCCGGGGATCAAACCGAGTCATTTTGTTCTATATGTTTTTGTCTTGCTTTGTATTTCCTACAACCTCATATCTAGAAAAGTAATTTGCATTATCTTCTAGTTCACCAATTCTTTCTTCTGTTACATCTAATATGGTGTCTATCCATTTCAACAATCGTTCCTTTCATTTCTAAAATATTTATTTAGTTCTTTTTCAAGTCTGTCTAGTTAATTTTTATATTCCCTTATGGGCCTGGCCTGTCATCCTTATTTTTTCCCACAAAGATTTCATATTTAATTATATACTGCATCTGACAATTCAAGTAAGTTCTCAGGCTTTTATATCTTATTTTTTATTTGTTTTTTTGTCTCTGAGGACTCTGACTATTGATGCTTTATGTACATTTGAGTGTTTGCTTATGAGCTTATATTTGAAAACAAAACCTGGGAATTCTGAGACCTTTCTTATAGAAAAAAAATCCTTATACTTACTTCTACTGGGAAGCTGGGTGCTGCTCCTGACCTGGGGCTACACAAGTCTCAGGCTTAACATGGGACACAGGTTAACATGGTAAGTACAGGGCTTGGTCTCCAGTTCTAAGTTTTGGTATCTGAACTTTATAATTCACAATGCTTGGTCTGGTTTTAGTTCTCAATTTTCTGTTCTGTTATGGGATTTTTGGGGGTGGGGTATGTAAATACCCTAGGAGTTTTGCCTAAATTTGACAAGTCCAACAATGCATTCTAGAGTATGTTTTATCCAGGAACAATAAGAAAGACAATAGGAGAGTTCTCAAGTAGCAATTCCAGAACCAGAATGGCTGCTCCTGGGTGCCTCTACCTTATTTCCTTTATACTCTGGACAATCCTCATGGTAAATAATTTTATTCCCAGTTGACAGAAGACAGGATAAGTAAGTAGGGTTACATAACTGGCAAGTAGCAGTCCTCACTGGTACTAGAACTTGGAAACACAACTGTTTAAAGCTAAAATCTAAATGTTCCTCACTATTATGCAATACTTCCTCTAAGACACAAACTCCATAGATTCACATCTTTTTAGTGGTGTGTCTTTTTCTTCTCCTATATGCTATCTCTCATGCCCAGTTTAGCACCTGCCTTCAAATTCCTTTATATCGTTGCAGATGGTGGGCTGAATGGCCATAAATGACTGTCATGCTTGGGTGCAAACATTGATGTGCTGCTCTGAGTTTGGACAGAAAAGAAAAAAGAAGTTAGATAGCAGAAGAGATGGAAATTTTAGGAACATAATCTGAGACATATCATATTGTTTTAAAGAAAAATTTCTATAACCTTTTCAGACCCAAGTTACTTTCCTTAAAGCTTGTATTATTTTTTAAAGGCCCACAAATAAAATAAGAAAATTGTTCTCCCTGTTTTATCTCTACACTCTCTATTTCCTTTAGTAAAATTAGAGGCAATAAATGATGGCTACAATCTCTTCCACTTACACAGGAAGAGATGAATCAGATTATACCTGACACCAGAAACCTCAAGATAAACATCAAGGTCTCACAGCAAGTCTTCCTAGTAAATTTAAAATTATGCACTTAGAAATTTTAATATGTTGACTATCCCATGATTTTTACTCTATTTATTCTAAAAGCTTTTGTTTTTATAATTCATATCAATTTTTAAAAAGATTAAAAAAAAAGAGCAACTAAAGTTTTCCTAGGTAAGTTTTCCACTAATAGTGTTTTGAAATACTTTTTATTTAAAAAGTTCATCTCCGCAGTTCAAAAACAACTAACACCAAAAACTATTAAACTTCCTTTTTTTGTGGGTGGAGTGTGCCAGGGATTAAATTTGGGGGCACTCAACCATGGAGTCACATCCCCAGCCCTATTTTGTATTTTATTTATAGACAGGGTCTCTCTGAGTTGTTTAGCACCTCGCTTTTGCTGAGGCTGGCTTTGAACTCTAGATCCTCCTGCCTCAGCCTCCCAAACTGTTAGGATTACAGGCATGTGCCACAGTGCCTGGCTTAAATATCCTTTTAATAGATAAATGAAAAATTCAGTTTGAGGAGGGTTTGGAAATATAATTGTTTATGTATCCATCCATTCTATAAACATTTACCATGCATGTCCTTAATGCCAAGCAATGTACTGGGGTCTCAAAAGTATAGGAAAAAGATTCTTGGCCTCAAGATGCCCATCTCTGTTCTATTGCCTCTATTATGTCTGAGAGGAAATACATCAGACTTGCTGCGTTTTAAAAGTGGGTCCTCATTTACCAAGTTGGTTACCCCCAAAGTTCAAAAATGAATTCTTAATGTCATAGTAAGATAACCAATTAAGTTTCAGTTTTTATTTTTAATAATTTTTTCAAATACCTAGTACCTCTGAAAAATCATGAACTCCTGATTTGAGCAAAATGGCCCACTGAATTTTCAACTCTATCAAAAACTCAGAAATAAAGCATCAAGAGCTTGAATTGACCCCAGTGAATTTTACCCCTTCTGTGAGTAATGGAGCCCTCAGAAAATATCATGAAAAGTATAGACATGCACAGACATGAAAATATTTTATAAGCCTGGAGAAAGGGTCTCTGAAATTTATAAAAGCTGTACCACAGATGCAAATACCGTGGTCATGTCTTTTCACTGTGAACAGCTTCATGACTGGAGTCTCATCTCATTCAACCTTGCAGTCCTTGTCCCAGAGTTGACTTCAGAAAACATTTAATGAATGAGTGAATTCTGTTCTTCTGTTCTTAGAAGGTTCCCATTTTAATCTTCCCTCTCCCCGTGAATTTCCAGATCCTCAACTTCATTTATACATTTTCTTTTCTTTTTGTACCCACAATTGAACTCAGGGGCACTTAACCACTGAGTCACATCCTCAGCCCTTTCTTTGTATTTTATTTAGAGAAAAGATCTCGATGAGTTGCTTTGGGCCTTGCTAAATAGCTGAGGCTGGCTTTGAACTTGCGATCTTCCTAATTCAGCCTCCCAAACTGTTGGGATTACAGGCATGGTCCACCATGCCCAGCCATTTACACATTTTTCTAAAACTTATTTGCTCACGACAAATCTGACAGGCTAAAGACCTCTCTTTCTCAAACTCTACTTTCAGAATTTTCCTCATTTCACCTCACCAAAGAAAGCCACACCTCCTAACCAATATTACAATGATGCAGTACAGACTACCAGGCCAAGAAACAAAGAAACATTTCCAAAACAGCTTCTCAGGAAATTCCTACCCCTAAAAAAGAAAAAAAAAAAAAGGAAGACTATCTCTAGATGAAACAGAAAGGGGCTGTGCTTTATTTCATCTAGGGAACAAACTCTGGGAGTTCCCCATACCTTACTTACATGTTGAATAATTAGAGGTCAGAAGTGAGATGATTATATTGGATCATACTGTAACACTTATTTTAATTCATTCCTTATTGTGAGATACAAGGTCTCAGAACAGTGTCTTTCTCTTTCTTTCTCAGAGATTGACTCATTCTCTACAATGAACAGTCCTTAGAAGGAGCTGCTGACAACTTGCAGGTAGGCTTCACCAACCAGAGACCTATAGCAGCTGCTGAGATTTCTAGAATTGATGCAGAATTTTCCATCTGCTCTCCCAAATCTGATATGATATCACATCATAGCATCAATAGAGTATAATTGCACATTCTTTTATACTCTGACAATATTGCTATTTTAATGCATGTATATGCACGAGATCAGACATTTATTTTTATTTTGTTGTATGAAATCAGTTCACCGTTGCCAAACAATAAGTTGGAACTGAAGCCAATAAATTAGAAAGTAGTAGCAAAGAGTATACAGAATATTGTGCTGCTCCTTCAAGCAAAACAATTGATCTTCATGTTATTTCTACTATCTCTAATGGCAAGCAATAGAATCCCAGAGGAAGCATGAAATACTGTTTGGATTCCCATAATTCTTCCTAGTTTATTTACGATCCTCTCTTTCATCCTTCCTGCCTGCCCAGATGGTTTTACTCTTTGTTTCCCGAACTGAATTATGCTTACTTCCCTTAAGATGTTAAATACTTCAAAAGCTTCCCTCTTTAGTTCCATACAAACTGAAGTTATAAACTCTTACCTTTGTCGAATTATGCTGGGATTAGCTGTCACTAAATGACTTTTGGATCCAACATCTTTAGTGTATTCACTTGACAAGGGAGGAAGATTGCATCTAGAGACAAAAGAACAAACACATTGGAATGATTTGCATACTTTTAAATCAAGTCAGTTAAAAATGACACAAATAGGAACTTTAACCCTAGCTCAATTCACAAATAACTGTTTTTACCACCTTTTCCTTTGAATAGACATTAGATGACTAATTAACCATCAGCATCTTCAAAATGCTGTCAAAAAACTAGTGCTATTTTAGAAGAAAGAAAATGTCAACTACAGAGTTAAATGATCTAGTGAAGGGGAGAGACAATAAGTAGAATGTATTGGTTCCATTTAAAATATCTTTGGTGTAATAAACTTTGAAATTAGGGCTCAGGAGGTAGAGAACACAAGACCTACAGTGTTCTCTGCATACCCCTAAGACCCAAGAGACACAGGAATTATATGTGCTCATGTTTTTCTTTCTTTTCTCAAAATGTAAATTATAATAGCATATTCAGGGCAATGTACTGTTCACCTAAATCAATGCATGTCTAATTTTTGTGTAGGCGGTCAATGCATAGGTTGATTATTGGTGAAGACATAATGACCTGTCATCCAAGGAAACACAGTGACTCTGCACCATTCTTGTTCAAATAGAAAGAGTACTGGTGTTATTCCTAGTGAGGAAAATAGTCACTCCCTCCCACCCGCAAAACACCACCCCATAGTCATTCCCTCCCACCAGCAAAACACCACCCCAATTTTGATTGTTCTTCTTGGTCACAACATCTTAACAATGGTCTTCAATGGAAAATATAGCCAATTCAAATGCAAATCTCATGGCTTTCTTCCTGTGGGACATTAGACAAGTGAATTAATTTGCTGGGCCTTAGCTCCCCCATTACATAAAGTGAAGACAATGACTTCTTTCTTGTTGGGTTCTTGTAAAGACTAAAAAAAGAAATGTATAAAAAGTCCCTACCTTCATGCCTTATACAGAGTAAGAGTCCAAAAATGTCTCAAGTAAGATATACTATAGAAATATTAGTTATATATTTATGAAAATTCCAAAAGAGCCTGTCTTTTCCACTAGGTTTTCTTCTATGAATGTGTCCTAATTGCTCATCTCCACCCATATGCCTAAATTGACTCCTGCTACATCACAGCATCTATAACTTTCTATGACTTCAGCAAACCAAAGCTTCATTTATATATAGATAAAGCTATCTTACAAATATCGAGATCTCTGCCAGCTACTAAAATTTCCCTTAAAATGTGCCCCAGGAGATGGAACCATCCATGCACCCAACTCAGCTGATCAGCTCAGGCTCCATGATTTTGTTTTTACCCTGTGACTCCTACCACATCACAGAAATACATCAGTGTTGACTTAGAATATTCCTTTCATCTGCTCTTAGATAAGGATATACTGGTTCTTCTGAACTACCCACAGATCAGTTGGTCTGCCAGTTGGTGACCTGTGGCATGCTCAGGTCTAACACAGTGAGCATTGTGTCACAGAGCCCACTTCTGAGGCATCTGCAGTCTAGTGGTCACCCATACCCCATACGGTTTCCTGAGAATGTGCCCAAGGAGTGAGCTTATGGACTGATAAGCAGGCTGGGCAGGCGTGGAACTGGCTGTGGTCTCGTGACTTAACTGTCCTTTGCAAGGATGAAGATAACTTCCGAGCTAAAACACGGACTAAAATTTGACCATAAGTCTCATAAAGCAGCTTTGATCTTGATTTCCCTCAGTAACATTTGAGAAGAAACCATTTCATACTAAAACTGTCAGCTCTGAATACTGCTGGGGGGGGGGCTGCTAACCTGTTTTGTCATTATTAAACAAAACAAATTGGTTTTCATGAGTAAACACTTTGTTTTTCTGTGTGTTCCATGGCTCATAGGTCTGAATCCCTCCATCCCTCCTACCACAAAGTAAAAGCTCAAGAAAAACTGGAAGATATTGGTTATATCCTATAATAGAGGGAAATACTTAAAACAATAAAGATAATATTTTATAATTACATTTCTGGAAAATAATGACAATGCATTTTAGTGTAAATATCTGCCTGAAGTTCTTCTGCGCAAATATCTGAAAATTTCCTCTATCTCTTTCCTTAGGCATGCACACTATAATTTTAGCTCCTCAATTGCTAAATTGATAATTACATAGATTTACATAAAAGGCACATTTAATATAGTTAAATTGTTTCTAATAAGGCATAATTGTGTAAAAGTGTTTCAAACTTTGCATTATCGTTTTTTGGCACAATTAACAGATATTAACAGCTAAAGTATTTTGGTAACAGTACTCAAATTACTAGAAAAGATCTGATCACAGAACTAGTGGGAAATAAATATGATTTGAATTGGGGAGTGGAAGTAGGTGAAGAACAGGCTTGGTGGAGAGGAAAACTTACATAAAAAAGCATAAAATCACTGTGAATTTTTTTTTATATATTTAAGTGCAAAACATGCATTTGAACATAATTCAAAATTATGTTTCCTTCATTGTCACCCTGAACCACCAGATTCTCCCCAAGATACAATCATTGTGACTTCTGTCTTGCAGATCTTCCAGATAAACTGAATTCACTAATATTCTTTTTTTCAAGTGCTGCTTTCAGATATAGTGCAAATGTATACTTTGAGTAATGGAAAATTGATTTTTAACATTTTAGAAGATGTATTTGAAAATATCTAAGCACAGAATATCCTGCAAGAGTCATATCCTAGTCCTAAGAAATCTGGGTTGTAATCTGGTATAGCGCAGCTACAGGCAGGGTTTCTGGATTATATGCTCACTTTGTCTACCCGTGCACCCAATAGTGTAGGATCTGACAAACTACGAGCTTTCTAATCCACATTTACTCACTAAGTGTTCAAATTTGAATACATGCTATTAGTAATTTTCTAAATGTGCCCCTAAAATGTGCATTAAGCAAACATTTATTACAGTCAAGTAATAATTTATCAACATTTATCACTCCCATACTGTAAATCATAAATAAGGCTTTTAAAATTTCAAATGTGTTGTGAAAATAGCATGATTCTTGAAATTAAAAAAAAAAAAAGCACATTATGCAGAGCTTCAGTTAGACGCTACCTTTTCTGGATCCTATTCAAGCCTCACCTCCCTCATCATTCTGTGAACATGATGCTTAACGCTGTGCCAGATGCACTAATCACAGGTACTCATTAATCCTGAACTTGAATATATCGACAGAGCATTGCATACAAGGCTAACCTAATGTGGTTTATTTGGGATAAATAGGGCACCACTAGATTATCCCCTGGTCTTCTACATCTTAAGTTGAAAATACTAATCTTCCTAAGGGTAGTCACACACGCACATAGGCACGCACGTGTACACATACACACGCACATACACAAGGAGAGAAAGGAATAATAAATACATTTCTTGTTCTGCCTCTTTCTCCACTGTATAAAGACCACTTGAAGTCACTTAACTTCTCTTGAACCTGTGAGTTTAATACTATCTATTCCTCATTTCTTACAGTGTTTGGAAAGAGCAAATAAGCTTATACGTGAGAGCAATTTGAAAAGTTAAACTAAACTCTATAAACTCTGTTGCAATGATATTGTGTTCTCTGTTGCGATGATATTGTGTTCTTGTAACCATAGATAAAATCAGAGTTGCTGCACAACAAGAAGCCTGGAGGAACTGCCACTCAGCCCCCAACCCCCCGCCCCCAGACTGCAAAGCTGAGCCCCAGCAAAGGTACATGATAGGTGGTAGGCCACCGACCTCGTCAAAGGAAGGGCCTGTCCTCCAACCCTTTGTGTTCTTTGCTGATTCTGTGGCCTCACCTAATGCCAAAGTATTGGAATGAGTACCTGCAAATACTATGGCCTCTGTCCTTGTCCTCTCTCCATGCTCTCTAGGTGATTATTCCACTCCTTTGGTTTAAATACCTCTCAGCCCCATCTATAACACAGTCCCTGCTTCTCGGGGCACTGCAGAAGCACTTGTTCTGCCCACAGTGGAATGAAGAGGATTCAGCCCAGAGCCACTCTTCCTCAGAGTCTCCCACTGCCCCCACTATGTGTCCGAATTCCTCTTATTACAGCAAGTATGCCTTCAGGATACAAGTCCATGAGAGAATTGATGAACATATTTCCAGATCTAGCTTGAGTTCCAATATGCAGTATGTGCTCAATGAACAGATTTTGCACTCAGTTAATGGAACTACTTCTTTATTTTTTTTTCATTTTCCTATTGTTTATATTGCAAAAAGAAAAATCACAATGAAGAGGAAAACACAATCCTACACTGGAAAAAATTGCTAGGGCACCCCATGAAGGAAAGGTAGGTGTAGAAAGACCTCCCCACTCCAGCACAGGCTTCACCAAGTGAGAGAAACGTCTTCCAAGGAGCCCAACGCTAATTCTCTCGGGGAAATTTGGCCGCCCCTGAGTAAATCAACCTCTTAAAATTTATTGTCTTTACTTTGCCCTACCTCACTTAGCTTGAGCTTAGAAGCAGGTTAGGGTTCTCTTAGCTGTCTTTTGCTGCTCCTAGACAGTTACTTATTTGTCCTTGAAAACAAATACAAACAAAAAATCTCCATCCTCCCTCTCTCAGCTTCCTGGCCTCTGTGTTGTTGGTGGTCCTCAGCCTTCCTGGCCTTTGGGTACCTGGTGCCTAGTCAATCTCATTTCAGTAAGACTTTAGGGTCCACCTGAAAGACTCCCCTGTGCGGTCTTAGGGTTCTTTCTCTTTCTTAGTAACAAACTGTCTTTTCCTACAATGTATCAAGTCAACCCCAGATAACCTCAACTCTGAAATCTTATACCCCAGGGACCCTTCTTTGACTTCACCTCCCACTCGCTCCTGGCTCTCAATGGTCCTGGCATTTGGCCTGTTTCCCTTCTCTTCCACATCTCAGAGCCCACTCCCTATCCTGCCCGGGCTTCAGGGTGTGCTGCTTCACAGACTCTCCAGCCAGAGCCCTCCATGTTGCCACACCCTTTCCTTCCTCCCTCTCACCAGATCATCTCAAACCTGCACCACAACATTCACTTTCCCTCTTGTCTTCGCTTCTACCCCAGCTGCCAAGCATGTCTGCTCAAACTCGCACCATGGTGCAGGTTGTGGGTGCACAACAGCCTGAAGGTCTGGTTGGATGTGTCTTAGCAATTCCTTACCACATCCCTGCCTCCTGTTTTTCCACTGGAACTGATGTGCATGTCGCCACTCTGCTCAGTCCCTTTAACAAACCTTGTCCTTGTTTGAAAGCTCCTCCCCTCCTCCTTTCTGATTTTCCTAGTCACTCACAGATCCAATCCTTCTTCAAATCCCACTTGCTCCTTTCAAATGCTTTTTTTGTGAAAAACTAAGGAGAAAGGGTGTAGAAGAAAGTGAATAAATTAAAATGTCTATTCATTCAGAGCTAGCTTTGGTGGAAGAGCAATTTTAAAAGTTTTAATTAGCCAAGTGCATAATCTAAAAGAAGGCCTGAGTGTCTCTACGTATGAGCGGCAGAGTGGGTACCTCTGCCACCTGTGAGCCTTCTTGCTTTGGATTTCCTCAGGGCAGGTTTCCTCCATCCCCTCAGCTCTTCTAAACTCACTTGTATATGAGCTCGAGGGGACACTAAAGAGTGTGCTACAACTGATTAATCACAAGTGACTAGTTTTGAAAGGCCCCAGGGCTTACGGGAGGGATGGGGGGGGGAAGGAGAGAAGGCAGAGGCCGCGCTGTGGGTGCTCTCTCTTACCGCATGACAAAATTTGCTTCATCTATTTGACGGCCACAGCCACTCTTCTTCAGAATCCCACCATTTCCCACCACCGCGCATTTCTTCAATGGCAGCTGGAATGGGGTTGCCTAGCAACAGAAAACAAGGCGGGTTTTCACTGCAAAGAACACACAACTGCTCATAAAATCATTGTTTACAGCAGACCCTTGGGAGGAATTTGCATGAAGACTGAGTGGGGCAAAAAGAGCATGTGGAAAGAAAGATGCCAAGAAGTTTGTAAGGAGCAAACTAGCTGGTTCCTTTGAAATTAAGAAAGCAAAACAGAAAAACCTCCCCAAAGTGTATTTAAATATAACAACAATTTTTTTTTTTCTTTCACATCTTGGCCAAACACATAGTAGAGGGTGTTTGCTACGGAAAGTACACAAATCTAAACTAAACACAGGATTATTCTGAAAGGCATTAAGCTGTGAATAAACTCAAATGAATTCTATTCCATTTGACTGCAATTTCATTCATTTATACTATCAGCCATTCTCTCAACAAATGTTTCTGAGCATTTCCTATTTTAACTTTTGGGGACAGATACAATGTACAGAAGTCTCTGTCCTCAGGCTTCTGAACAGAGGACAGGAGGTGAGGAAGAGGTGAGGAGAGTGTGAACTTTAAGTAGGAAACACCGTTGTGAGGCTGGGCTATTGCAAAAGAAAAACACACCAACTGCCAGGGGAGGGGCCCGGAGGAGTAAGGTGGCCCTTCTGCTCCGCAGACTTGATTGGGGGAAAGCTTCTCACTTGAGAAGAACCTAAAGAATAAATTGGATTTTTCCAAGTAGAGGAAGCAACATAAACAAAGGCATAAAAGTATTTTCTGGGAGCAAATGTTGTGTTTATAAGCAAATGAACACTGCACAGTTCTATCAAGAACTCAGGAGGCACTAAGGAGCAAGTGACTTGCACTGAGCCAGACAGCATGTGACTTTCTTTCTGCAAACATTGAACTGGACTGCAAAGAAAATTTTCAGTGTACCTGAGTGTTCCCTGAGGTGCTATTTATAGCACTAGAGAATATGGAAACCCAGCTACAGCTCTGAAAACAGAATGCATCATTTGGCCTCTTTTAGCTGGGTCAGCAAGAACTGCCGGGTACAAAATTTCCTGCTTGCTGAAACAAGGCACAGCAGGGGGAGTTCTTCGGGGGAAGACCTGACATATATATGTAACTGGTACAGAAAATAACTATATTGATAGTAAGCAGGCCACCATGGATGAATAATATGGACTGTACCAAAAGAGCAAGTGGGATTAATACATGAAAATACATTAAGATGGTCTTGCATAGGCATGAAGTAATTAAACCATGAAGGAAAAACAAACAAACACACAGGAGTCTCTGTGTCATTGATAGCTGAAGTGGGCACTTACTATGCATAAGAGTTTATTCCACTGATTTCTGTATGTGAGAGGAACAGCAAGAACTATGGAAATATTGTTGATAAAGTTGCTGTTATGGTTTAGATGTGAGGTATCCCCCCAAAAGCTCATGTGGGAGACAATGCAAGAAAGTTTAGAGGTGAAATGACTGGGTTATGAGAGCCTTGGCCTAATCAGCATATTGATCTACTGATAAAGATTAACTATGTAGTAACCATTGGCAGGTAGGGTATGGTTGAAGGAGGCAGGTCCCTCGGGCATCCCTTGGTGGTATATAGTTTGTGGTTGTTGAGTACAGCTCTCTCTCTCTCTCTCTCTCTCTCTCTGCTTCCTGGTGTAATGTCTTAAGCCACTTTTCTCCACCACACTCTTCTGCCATGATGTTCAGTCTCACTTTAGGCCCATAGCAATGGGGTCAACCATCGTCAGACTGAGACCTCCGAAACCATGAGCATTGAAATAAACTTCTCCACTAAAATTGCTCTTGTGAGGTCCTTTGGTCACAGCAACAATACTAACTAAAATAGACGCAGTGCTTAAAGTACAATGCCTAGCATTCGCCAGCAGAGAGATAGGAACTCCCTGCATTACTATAGCAGAGATCAGTCCAGAGAGGAGGGACAGGCAAGGAACAGCATCCTATCACATCCAAAATGATGCATGACATTTTTCTCAGTTACTCTTGAGAGGAGGGTTTGGAATCAACATTAGAAAAACATTTATTTAGATCTATACTTGTTAATTGAAGATTTACATATTTATTCTCAAGTTAGCTTGTTTTGTCCCACAAAATAAGTATCTACTGTGTATCAACCACTGGTGAGTGACAGGGACACAAGTGGAAATCTATGTTCCCCAGAAGCTTGTATTCTGGTGGGAAAAACAGATAAGAAATAAAGAAACATAAGTCAAATGAATAATGTGTCAGACGGTGACAAGTGCTTTGCAGAGAGAAATAAGCACTGGCACGAGAGGCTCAGGAGATTCGAGAGAGGAAATGCAATTTGAATAGGGTGATGAGGGGAAGGTGCCCAGGAGGCCTGCAAGCGAATCCCTGCCAATGAGGAAATGCACCCAAATATCTGCAGGAAGCACTGGCACAAAGACCTTGAAGGAGGGAATATTTCTGGGATGGGACAGGGAGAACAAGAAGCCTGCTGTGTCTGGAGAGGAGTCAGCTAGGGAGCCAAGTAGGAGAGGAGGTTAGAAGGCTAACTGGTAGGCATCTGGGGGATAGATTCTGTAGCACTTCGTAGACTCTTATAAAAGCGTGGAGTTTTATTCTGAGAATTAAGTCTCTACAACAAGAAGTCAACGTGGGGAGAGCAACATTACAGCATATGTTGGAGCAATCGCTGTGTGTGCTGCTGTGTGAACAGGCTGTAGGTTGTCCTGGGCAGAAGGAGAGACCAGTTAGGAATTCCTTGTAATTCAAGCTTGAGACATTGGTGACCTGAATCAGGGTGACAGTACAAGAAGCAATCAAATTCTGGAGATACCCTGGAGGAAGAGCCAACTAGATTTGCTGACGTGGTAGGAACAGTGTTAAGGAAAAAAGAAAGGGACCGAGGATAATGCCAAGGGTTTTGGCTTGATCGACGGTAAGGATGGACTTGTCATTTCCTGAGACACAAAAGATCAAGGAGAAGCATTACTGAGGGAGCAATTGGAGCTCAGTCTTAAAAACTCAAGTGTGCAAAGACACCTGAGTGTCACTGTCAAGTAAGCAAAGGAGCATGTGGCCAGGGAACTGGTCTTTTCTGGAGACAGAAGGTTGACGGTGATCAGTACAAGTATTTAAAGTCAGGAGACTAGCCAATGAGTGCAGACAGAAAAGAGAAGAGGTCTAAGAGAGGCTCAGACTTTTTAAAAAAAAAAAAAGTATCTCAAAAAGGGTTAGAGAAAAAAATGCCTCAAATGCTATTGGTAGATTAAGTATGATAACAGCTAAAAACTGTCACTGGACTTAGCAACGTAGATGTCACTGGTGACCTTGACAGGGACCTTGGTTCAACAGTAAGGACAAAAGTGTGATGTGAGTTCAGTGAGTTATACATGGTTTTTTTCTGCATAAATATTTAGATATAGTTTATTTGAAAAATGTGGGTTCATCTCATCCTCAACTAGTATTTAGATAGATTTACATTATTAAAATCCCCTTAAACTGTTGTTAAAGAGAGGTCCTTGTATCTGGGTTTTCAGGCAAGAATCTGAGCCCAGATCAAGAAGAGTAGCAACATACACCTGGAGAAAAATACTGTCTCCTAACCTCCAAACGGCAGGATGATGGGATCATGGGGCAGGTTCAAGCTCCTCCACCATCTGCTGCCTGTCTCTGAAAGGAGGATAATACTGAGCAGGATTTTATGAGATTATGTGAGATAAGCCATGAAGCCGCTCATGAGTCACTGGCACAGTGGGCCACTTATCTTCCTTCTCTCTTCTCATTCCTTCTCTCCTTCTAAAGACTTCATGGACTTGTTCAAGCTAAGAAATGCTTAGATTTCATGGGCTTTGATGCAATGAAGGAAAACAGTGATTTCTCTATCTTAACAATTAGAAATAATTTTATTAGCAGAAAATTTAACTATTACACCTGTTCACTATTAACAACACCTTCACCCCCAAAAGCCCTCCAACAAAAGTCCAGAGGTAACAAAAAAAAAGGCCATTTCTTCTTTCTGATAATATTTGCTTGCTCCTTCTTTATTTCATAAATCTCTAGCCCTTGAACAAATAGTTTCATTTTATTTCATTTAAGCAAATATTCTGAACACTCTTGGACATTGATAATACACCAGTGAACCATAATAGCACACCACAGCTTCCAGAAAGGGAAACATTTAATTGGAAAAATGCTATGAATTTTTATCCAGCTAACTGATATAATACTATCATGCTCTATTTTAGACATAGAATACTCAACTTGGCAATGGTCCACACTCTCCAGAATGGTACCCTTTTTGGAGATCATATTACATACGAAAAAAAATTCGGTCATCCATTGCCACATGAATATTGTGATTTTGACAATGTTTTTGTTATAACAATGTATGCTGTCCTCTCGAATTTATTTCCTTGTATCTATGTGAGAAAATGTCTAGCAGATCAGAGAAGATAGTATATATAACATTCCTGCAAAACTTGAAACTACTACTCTAAATGAAAGGATTGATTAGGATAGATTACATTAAGCAACTACAGTGATGAGCCAAACTTTTTTTCCAATTCTTATTCAGCCGTTAACTCATCCTATGGATCTCTGTCCAAATTTTAGCACTTGTAAATGTTCTGCTAATGACCAGCTTCTTAATGACCATATTATATTAATCATAGGATTCAGATTCTAATTTAACAGGCAACTCAACCTCTCAGTGCTTCACTGGAAATCAGGTATGATAATAACCATCCCACTTATCTCCCAGCGTGACTATGAGAATTAAAATAGGGTAAATACATTAAATGTCACAAGGTTGTGAAGTTATATATAAATGAAGTTGTATATAAATATGTATTATTACTACATTATTCTATGCTAATAAAATTACATTCTTTTGAAAGGAAAGTCATCTCATACTGCTAGACAACTATAATATGCAGCCTATGTGTGAAATATTTTCAATTTCAAAGATTTATATAGATTTTGAACCAAATAATATTTTTGATCACTGGCCCTTTTGTGGATTTATCTACTC